CTGGGAGACAAATGAATAGAAATGCTACATGGCCAGCGGAAAAGGGCGGACACCACATGGCCAGCGGAAAGACAGACCTGGGAGACAAACAAATAGAAATGCTACATGGCCAGCGGAAAAGGGCGGACACCAGCAGTGACAGACCTGGGAGACAAATGAATAGAAATGCTACATGGCCAGCGGAAAAGGGCGGACACCAGCAGTGACAGACCTGGGAGACAAATGAATAGACACGCTACATGGCCAGCGGAAAAGGGCGGACACCAGCAGTGACACAAAGGGCGGACACATCTTAAGAAAGAATTGAGAACCCCTAACAGTAACCTGTTCGGGGAAAAAGGTCAATGCCTAAATTCATGTGTGCAGTCTACAACCAATCAACGCTGGCCAAAACATCTACCCGCTCTCCTTCCAGCTGGAAGCTGCAACAGAACGAATGTGCATAGGCATAGGTTTGTGTACCTCTTCTGGCGATGCACTTTATGCGCAATTTGTACTGTACTTGAGGCCAGAGGGGGTGAACGAAAGCTAGCCGGGCTTCCGGTGGTCTGCTGCTGGCGCTGCTGCTGCTGGTGCTGCTGCTGCCGCTGCTGCGCTGGGCGCTGCTGCGCTGGGTGCTCTGCAGGCGCCGGGTCGTCTGCTGCTGCTGCTGCTGCTGGCGCTGGGTGGTCTGCTGCGGCTGCTGCTGCCGCGGCGTTGGGTATGCTGCTGCTGCTGCTGCTGCTGCCGCCGCTGGGTGGTCTGCTGCTGCTGCTGGCGCTGCTGCTGCTGCTGCTGCCGCTGCTGCGCTGGGCGCTGCAGATGCTTGGTGTGCTGCAGCTCCTTGGTGGTCCCGCTCACCGCGCGCAGGGGGGAGTCGAACCGCGGGGGGGGGGGGGGGGGGGTCCATAAGATTGATTTAATCAATTATTTGAGGTTTCTGAGGTGCGTCCACCCCGTCACTTAACTTGCTAAAGCAAGAGCAACTCCAGCTAGCTAAGGCTAGCTTTCGTGATATCCTACAAAACTGGTGTCCGCAGACCCTCCAGCGATGGTTGGGGACTTGCAGGCTAGAGGCCTCCTTAAACAGTGTACAGTGATCCCAGATTCATGTTCCTGCGCTGGCTGAATTTTTGTGTTGAGGTTGTGGTAATTGCAAATTGTTGGTGCCCAGTGACCCTGCTGTTCTTGATGCGTCTAAGGTTTCAGTCTTTCTACAGCCATCAGTCTGTGACGTGGATTATTGGCAGCACATTCCATGTGGCAGATGCTCGCGCAATTTGCAAAAACACATTTGAAGGCAAAGTGACAAGTAATAGTGTGTGGCATCATCGAAAGGGTAGCGGGCCCGGAACTCCTCGTAGTTGACCCCTGCACAGTACAGAACAATGTGCGATTTCCAAACCAGGCGTCCAACATTCTGCCAGTGACAGGACACTTTTGCAACCCTGCACGCACAAAACATGCAATTTTCACTTCCATTTATAAAGTCAACGGCCTCCTCCTGAGCCGGCCGGCGGAGCTCTGGGCCCCCTAAAGGGCACAGCCTCCCATCACCACGGCAAGCAAACTCACAAAATCAATCTGTGTATGACCGGCTGTCAAACCCCTTCTCCCAAAAGTGTCGATGTTGCAAACCTGGTGGGAGGCCCGCTTCTAAATCTCCTATATACTTGAACTATAGTAAAAACACGTGCATTTTACATTAACAAGGTCAATTACACCAGCATTGATCCCAAGTATCTGAACGCATTCGCACTGATTTCGGCTACTGTCGCAGAATCAAGTTCAGTAAGAAACTGGGTAAAGTTGATCTGCCTCACGACGGTGCAAAGCCTGTTCCTACTCCGAACTGCTGGATAAACAGTCGAACAATTTCTGGTCTCAATCAGGTGGGACGAAAGCCCAAAAGCAACGTCACTTAGAATGCTTGGCTACCAAAAGCCTGATAACCCAGGATGCCAAAAGCCTACCCAGCACCAACAGCACTGGCAACCCAGCCAGCATGACACATAGCGGCATACCTTCGAGATCCGCTTCCGAAACAACACTGTGTCAAACTCTAAAACCATCATCTTCAGGCACTAAGGCGTGGATGTGGTTGATGGAGCTTTGCGTGAACATGTTGGCTCCAAAAGTCAACTGCCCGCAGTTCGCCAGCTTGCACCCTGCCTCCACCACGCGCAAAGCCAGCACCAGCACCCAGCACGGGCACCCAGCACCGGCCCTGCTTCCGCCACGCGCCAGCCAGCACCCGCCACCGGCACCAAGTCTCCACCACGCGCACAGCCAGCACCCAGCAACGGCACCTAGCACCGGCACCGGCACCCTATCTCGAAAGCGCGCATAGCCAGCTCATTGTTCCCGAAAGCATTGCGAAGGGTTCTTCCGGAAAATCTCTTGAACACTGACACTTCTACACTTACACTTACACCTTGCACTTGAACACACGTACACTTGAACACTTACGCTTCCACACTTACACTTGAACACTGACACGTCTATCACGTCTATACGTATCCCAGTGTAAGTGGAAGAGTGAATGAAAGCATTCCACGGCAAGTATCCAAGTGCAAAAGTACAACTTGCACGGGAGATGTCCTAATGAGTGTGCAAGTGTGAGTATTGGAAAACTTGCACGGGAGATGTCCTAATGAAAAACATTTCCCCACTTTATAAATTCTCTCTTAAAGGCGGAGGGTGGGACGAACAGCGTCAACCGAAAATGCAACCCTCTGCGGAGATCGCGCGCATCGAGTGCGCGAAACGCAGGCGAGAGTGCGATTTGTCCCATGTGCGCGCAACCCTCTGCGGAGATCGCGCGCGTCGAGTGCGCGAAATGCAGGCGAGAGTGCGATTTGTCCCATGCCCGCGCAACCCTCTGCGGAGATCGCGCGCGTCGAGTGCGCGAAATGCAGGCGAGAGTGCGATTTGTCCCATGCCCGCGCAACCCTCTGCGGAGATCGTGCGTGTCGAGTGCGCGAAATGCAGGCGAGAGTGCGATTTGTCCCATGTGCGCACAACCCTCTGCGGAGATCGTGCGCGTCGAGTGCACGAAGTGCAGGCGAGAGTGCGATTTGTCCGGTGCGCGAAATGCAGGCGAGAGTGCGATTTGTCTTGCGCGCGGGCAACCCTCTGCGGAGATCGTGCGTGTCGAGTGCGCGAAATGTAGGCAAGAGCGCAATTTGTCCTGGACGCGGGCAACCCTCTGCGGAGATCGTGCCTTTGTAGTACAACTTTAGTGCGCGGAGTATCTGGGGAGCTGGACGATGAGAACTGGCGACTTTGTATTATAACTTTAGTGCGTGGAGTATCTGGGGAGCTGGAAGATGAGAACTGGCGACTTTGTAGTACAACTTTAGTACGCGAAGTAGCTGGGGAGCTGGAAGATGAGAACTGGCGACTTGGTAGTACAACTTTAG